TCCCGCGCACGAGACCCCCAAAGGAATTTGTAGGCAGAAAACTGTTTCGCGAACCAGCCAACGTAGAAGGCTGAAACTTTGCAGGGATATTCTGTATGCACGCACAAGACAAAGGTTTTAAACTACCTTTCTAGCTCCCCAACCTCAGCCTCAAGAGCTCCTGAACCCAAAAATCGTTAGCAACTCGGGCCTGCCGCAGTTGTATATGCAAATGAACGTGGATTTTTTGAAAAACGACCGTTCGGGCAATACTTTCAATTTTTCAATGAACTTATGCAAATGAACGTGGATTTTTTGAAAAACGACCGTTCGGGCAATACTTTCAATTTTTCAATGAACTAAAATATATTTGCATATTTTCAAAAATTCGTTCTCAGCCTCGAACCTTAACCGCAATCGTATATGTAAATGCGGTTTTTTTGGAAACGACCGCTCGGACAATACTTTTACTTTTTAGTAACCTGGAAATTTGCATTTCAAAAAGGCAGGGAAATTTGATGGAGTCGTTTTTTTGGAAACGAACGCTCGGGCAATACTTTTACTTTAGTTTTGATGCAAAAACGCATGATCGACGACCGCTCGGACAATACTTTTACTTTTTAGTGGCCTGGAAATTTGCATTTCAAATTGTATATGTAAACGAACGCGGTTTTTTGGAAACGAACGCTCGGGCAATACTTCTACTTTTTAGTGACCTGGAAATTTGCATTTCAAAAAGGCAGGGAAATTTGATGGAGACTCAAACTTTTGATGCAAAAACGCATGATCGCACCGGCTCGCCTGGTGCGTTCCAGCCTGGGTTTTAAATGGGAAAATGATGCAAAAACGCATGATCGCATCGACTCGCCTAATGCGTTCCAGCCTGGGTTCATGCTTTCAAAAGCGAACATTCGCCGAAAAAATAACCGAGCTTCAAGCAAAAAACTACGAACCATGTACCTGAAGGTCTGTGTAACCCTATAATGCAACACCTTCATCCCAACCGACGCCCTTTCTTCTGCATGTCCGAAAAGACCAAAGCACTGCCAATATGAGCACAACTGTTAGGTTACAGTGCAGGGGTCGTTCCTGTTATTAATGACCTCAGGTTTAGTGTAAAAACGCGTGACCGCACTGGCAAGCCTGGCGTGTTCCAGCCTGGGTTTGCATCCATGCAATGCAGAAAACGTATATTGGAGACAGGTTGGCTGTGTGTGTCTGTGTGTGCGTCTGGACCGATTTTTCATCTTGAGAACTACAAAAGCTACAAGGCTGAAAATTTGGGACCTTATTCTGTATGCACATGCGGGCCATAATCCCCGAAATGGGGGCTCTTATCCGAGCTTTCCCCTCGCAGAGGCCCGCCAAAGTTTTTGACAAGTAAGTTGCAAACTCGAGAATCTGAAAGCTAGAAGGCCGTAATTTTAAGGCATTGTTCCCCGTCCACATAGATTTTAATCAGTTCAAGTCTATCCTCCAAGTATGCTTGATTCCTATATATGGGCTCGTGAATTTTTTTGTTACAAGTAAGTTGCTAATGTGGGAATCTGAAAAACTAGAACACTGGGATTTTAAGGGGATGTTCCCCGTCCGCATAAAATTTAGAGACTTCAAACTCTGCTCCTAGTTACACCTGTTTCTCACGCACGAGCCAGTGAAAATTTTTGGCGGGTAAGTTGCTAACTCAGGAACGAGGAAAGCTAGAATGTTAAAATTTTAAGGGAGTGTTTCCTGACAGTCCTGATAGCCAGTCTCAGTTCGCTTAGCTAAAAGCATTTGCCGGAAAAACCGGTACCGCTGACAACAAAAGCCTGTGGTGAACTACGCAAAAAACATATCTTCGCACCGGCAGTCCCTGCTCTAGCTAACTTTTGCATATATATATATATATATATATATATATATATATATATATATATATATATATATATATATATA